ACTACAAAAGCAGCTTGAGGGAAAGCAACATCTAGAACAATACCATGAATCCAGTAGTTATACCAAAAAGAGACTTGAGATCCACCTCCTGGGTCTAAATAAGTATAATTCCATAAAAGATCATGAACTTTAGTGATGTTGGCCCAAACCGAATTTGAATAGCCTGAAACGATCTTGCGAGTATGCCACACAGATAGGAGATCATGGTATATAATCTCAATCAGATTCCTCCACCAGCTGTTCCTATCAACTGCGTATTTTCACAACCATTTCGCAAAAAGAGCATTGTTGAAGGAGGCGAGATCTCAGTTACCGATCGAGCCCCGCATCTGATTTGGAAGCTTTACATAACTCCCAACCAACCAGGGGAATATTGTTATCCTCTCCAGCCCAAGTCAAAATAAACTTTCTCTGTATCCTTTCCAAATCTTTCATCACAGATTTAGGAGCCTTGTAGAGCAAGAAATAATAAACAGATAAGCTGAAAAGCACCGCCTTGTTAAGGATCAATCTACACTAGCTGAAAGGCAATTGCGTTTCCAACCATCAAGTTTCTTGTTAAACTTCGAAAATATAGGCTCCCAAATGGACTTGGCATTAGTTTTCGCACCAAGAGGAAATCCAAGATAGTTCTGAGGGTTGCTGCTCCAATTACAGCCAAAAATGGCTACGAAGAAGCCAGGTTCAACAACATCACCTACCGTATACATAATTGATTTCTCAAAATTGATCTTAAGCCCCGTCACTGCTTGGAAACAAACCAAAGTAGACAGTATATTCAGCACTTGCTCATGAGAAGCATTGCAGAAAATCAATGTGTCATCCACGAACAGGAGATGAGTAACTTCTCCAATTTTATGAATCTCATCCATGAAGAAGCCCTCAATCTTACCTGCACCCTTGAGTTTAGAGATCATTGCAGAGAGAATATCCATGATGAGCACAAATAATCCCGGAGATAGGGGGTCTCCTTGACGGAGTCCTTTGCTCGCCGAGAAGAAATCGCTCGCCTCGCCATTGATTAAAACATATATGTAGGGGGAACAAACTGATCCTTGAATCCAACTAATCCATTTCTGAGGAAACCCCAAGTTAGAAAGAATCTTAAGTAAGCAACTCTAATTCACGTTATCAAAGACCTTTTTCGATATCCAATTTAAAAATAAGTCCAGGCTTCCTACTTCTCCTTCTACTATCGACAATTTCATTGGCAATTAAACCTGCCTCTGAAATTTGCCTTCCTCTATATTTTGAATTGTAGTTGTTTGTAACATTCATTGTGTGTGACAACATATAACCATTGATATAATGTAAATTTTATTATGAGATTAGGGACTGGTAGTTCTATATTTTATGATGACAATAATTAGTAATGATGACAGTATCAGTAGTTTAGTTCATCAAGTTTACATGATACCGATGTGAGCTTCCCTCCCAAAATATTATCGCATAAAACCTTGCTTGGTGATTATATATGACCACCAATATACATAAATGGTCAAACTTTATACGGAGGAAGAAAAGCAGTATTGAAATAACATAATAGAATGGGGTTTGCTCTACATATTGTGTTAGACTACAATATGTGGTAGCTTAGTACTATGTAATTTGGCATAAATTTGCCATGAAATTAGAAGAAGGTGAAGAGAAGAAATGTTCTAAATTCTTAAATAAAGTCGCATCTAATAAAGTCATACTCATTTTTTAGTTCATACCCAAATTCTTAAATAAAGTCGCATCTAATATGGTGTGTAGGGTACTTTTATCTAAGGGATTTCTGGTTTGTTTGCCGAGGCCTTGATTGGTCTTCTTGCCATTGATTTTGTATATTTGATTCGAGATTTTTGCCATATGTGACCCGTAAATTCCTTTTCAGTACAAGCAATTATGCTTTATAGGTTTGTGATGACTTAAAATGTATCTATTTATCTTCAAGTTAGATAAGTTTCTATGTACAATGGGTTCATGGAAAGCAACCAGCTCTTGACGCAAGAGATCGATCGAACAATCACTATCTTTCACGAGAATGAGAAACTTTAACCAATTCAAAGTGGTGAATGAGGATTGCATGTTTGTGACTTTCGTCTCATTTTCAGGGTTGAAAGATGGTGCAAACTTTTGTTTTCACTCTTATGTTGTATGCGCAAAATCAATAGTGGATTTGTTCACCAGTCATGATTTGAATAATGCTCCTTCTATTATGGGACAATCCAAATACCACATCGACAATATAAGAGAATGAACATTTGTATATTAGCATCCACCTAGCACAATTAGCACAATGCCTTTTGGAGAGGACATCCGCCGATAGTAAAACAGTGCGGGCTCGGCCCAAAGTGGACAATATCGTACTAATTGAGCTGTCCTGTTATGACAAGTGATATCAGAGCCTGGTTCGTCGGATCCAGGGCGGTGGACATAAGTTTGGTGGACCCTTATTCAGTGACCTCGGGATTTGCGATTCGCTCTGTTTGGTGGATCCAGAAGAGACCCATGTTTGGGTTTGGCGGATCAAAGAGAGTTCTGCGTATGGTAAAACTCCTTGTACCGAGAAGCCCATATATACAAGGCGTCTGGTTGATCAAGATAATTTTTGACGAGAGGACACGAAGTTCGTGGTCCTTGTCTTGAGGGGAGGATTGTTATGGGACACTCCAAGTACCACATCGATAATACAAGGGAAGGGACCCTTGTATATAGTGTCCACCTAGCCCAATTAATACGAGGCCTTTTGAGGAGAATACCCAAGAGTAAAACTGTATGGGTTTGGCCCAAAACGGACAATATTGTACTAATTGAGCATCCCAATTTCGACAGCTTCAACGGGTGATGTTGAGTTAAACTGTTGTAGATGCACAAGGGCAAGCGAAAAGAAGCCGAATGGCCAGTGTTGGGTTTAGGGATGACAATATTACCCATACCCATGTGTATTTTACTATCCATTATCCAACCCAATTGGGTTGGGTATGAAATCCAAATAGATGTTAGATGGGTAGAGTTTGATGGGTTTGTACCGATTCTCATTTATTTGGGTTGGGTTGGGTTTCTAATATATGGATTTGGGTTTGTACCCATACCCAAATGCAAATTATAGATTGGTACCTAAACTTAATAGTTATGCATATTTAGTACCTAAATTAATTTTTTTTGCATATAAGTCCTCAAAATATCGATGAAAAATTATATTTTAGTACCTAAAATTTTTTGGTCTCACATTTTGGTGCCTAAACTTTTCAAGTTTTACAAATAGGTCCAATTTTTGTATGTTTAGTTGAAACACTCTCAAGTAAATGGATATCCATATCCAACCCATACCCATTTAGATAATATCCATATCTAACCCAAACCTATACACACATCACTCAAACCCTACCCATAATAAATGGGTCTACTTGGGTTTGGACAAAATTACCCATTAGTGGATAAATTGCCATCCCTAATTGGGTTAGAGCATTGTAATGATATCATTTGAGGTAGTGATGTAAACTTTTAACGTTAGTATAAAAATGTATTAAACATGGATTACAAGATAAACCGGTGTTTTTCTTCTTTTGAGATTATGGAGGTTTGTGGTTTCATTTGCCTTTGGATTTACGGTTATGAAGAATAAAGCACCTTTCTTCATCTCTTCAGCTCTATTCGTGGATCATGATGGATTTTCTGATCTGCCATTTCAGGAAATTAAGATTAATGGTGAAGCAGCTGTTAATGATGTTATGTTGCTGCTGCTACACGGTTGTCTTCTGAAATTGCTAAGTAGCTTTGTTATGAGAATTTCATCTGTTTGGTATAACGAGTATTAAGTGTAAAGAACCGAGATGAATTGCAATTATTTCTCATATTTTTAACTTGAAAGACATTTGCTTCAAGAATACAAATGACTTAGCTTGCAAACATTACTTGAAATCACATATTTTTAACTTGAAAGACATTTGCTTCAAGAATACAAATGACTTAGCTTGCAAATATCACTTGAAATCACGGACTCGAAATCAGTTCGCTACTAGCCACACTTTTAGTTATAATTTCTCTATTTCTCGAATTTACTAATGTTTTATAAAACATGTTAACTTCTGCAACAAATCAATTATGATTTAGTTATAATTCATGTATTTCTAGAATTTACTAGGAGCAGTTCCATAAATACATATAATGGTCATATAAGAAAAAGTTTATAGGGAATTTATGTGATTATATCATATAAATATATACCAGCGATTGCATTTTAAGATTCGATATGCATCTAAAATATTTATGAGTTCACCGTAGAAACCGCGTATATATTCCTTATCATTGGATTGGTGGAGTGTGAGCTCCTGCCAGGAAAATTTCCACTTCAATTTTTCCATTTGAATAATTTTATTTCACTTTAATTTTATTTGTCCACATTTTTAAGTATCTTTCTCATAATGTCTTTTACATCTTTAGACATAGCATGTATTCCCAACTTCTGAAATTATTTAGGAATCCGCTTCCAACTCAAATTAATGGCTTCCACCAAGAAAAGAGCTAGCTTTAGCAGGAAAAAATAATGGAATTTGGAATTTTCGACAGTACTAACATACATACAGAATAATTCCATAGTCTGACAAATAATCGTATTATTATATTATAATTTTGTACAGAATCCATCCTACTATACCTAATCATACACAAAAAGAAATTACATCAATAATAACAATATAATAATAATTGAAACCCTAAACCATAAATATACAAATATATCTATATAACAACACCTACCATCCACATCCATATCCCTTTTCCCCCATTGTTTTTTTTTTCTTTTCTTTCCCCTCGACTCCAAACTTAATCAATCATCACCACAATTACAATAATAATCACAAATCAACAAATTTTGGGAAGTGGCTAAGATGTATTTATCGAGTATGCATGCATTTCTATAATGTAGTCGTGAACCAAAACCATGTTTCCTCCTTTTCGCCTCCTCTTTGTCTTGTTTTTTTTTTTGGTATTAGGGTTCATGGCTTTCACAACCCTCATAGGAAAACCATGTTGTTATCAATCTCAAATCTCAAGTCATGATCCAAATCGGAGACCACTCCACCGCCGCCACCATCTCCCAAGCTGCAAGTCTCCTCCAAGTTCATATCAACATCCCACAAGAAACCAAACTGGTCCTCGATGCTGCTAGGCTTGGAGCTGATCTCACTTTGATTGTTCTGCAGCTGGTTAGGGTTGGCGAGCTTTGTTGTTCTGTCTTGCAGGAGATTCAACAGTGATCCTGCCGTGGCCATCGGAGCTTGTACATCGGAGCTCGGATGATGGTGTGGGGCGGCCGTGGTGGTGCTTGACGAGAGTGATGTGACTTGATGATGATGATGATATCTGCCGGTATCGGCGGTGGGCAGCTGGGTGGAGATGTGGCCGGCGCCGCCGTGGTGGTGGTGATGGTGGTGAGGAGGAGTTAGTAAAGGTGGAGAAGTGTCGTCTAAACAGATTGGGGCGGCGCCTTGGTTAGGTGTGGTATCGGGGAAGTGGTGGTAATTAGGTGGGCTGGATTCATTGTAGTCTTCTGATGCCTTGCTCTTGTGGAACACTCTACATAACACCCAGTCCTCCTGTGTCATCATATCATTTGGCCAGCCAACGAAACTAATCAATATTTTTGAGCAATAATTTGTATGTGCAACAATCAATTTTGAGCTCTTCCACCTCGCTAATTGAGGGATAGCTTCTAAAAGTTAAACCACCTAGCGGAACAAGGGTTTTGTCCAGTGGTTATATCATTGATCAAGTTTCAGGTTCAAATACTTGAATAGCATCTAACTAAAAAAACATAACATATATCACCTTTATATAAATAAATATTAAACTTAGTAGTATATGACTTATTTTATTATTATTGGCAGGCAACATGTCACGAGTCACAGAACCAGTCTGATTCAAAAATTCGAGTTGCAAAAATGAAACTAATATCTTTCTCTAACACTATTCTTAAATCAAGGCCAATCCACGAGTTTGGAGTTTGCCTGGGTCCATTAATTATATCATGAGCTCAAATCAAGAGTCAATATTGGAGATTGTCAAGATTCAGATATGAGATCTTCCGATCAAATGCTCTTATATCATGTCATGAACTAATTAGTATCGATATATCGAGCTGTTAGAAGAATCTAGCAATAAATATTATATCTTCTCACCAAAACATGCCTGTAAAGATAATTATATAAGATCTTACTCAGCCAGTTAGTATCTCTCCCAATCTTTTTCTAAGTTACTTGAACCAACTGGTTCTTGATCGTAACATATCTACCTAGATATCAATCTAATAATTCATGTCTAGGCGATAGACATATGCATATATATGATGACAAGACGTGAGAAGTAATTTACTTTGACCTCGCCAATTATAACTAGCGTATTATCCATCAATAAGCTATATATAGAGAGAGAGAGAGAGGGGTAGTATCTAGCTACGTACGTAGGGTTTATAAAAAAGTAAATAAAAAACTGAATATATATAACGTACCTTGGGGGGCATGTGGGGAGTCTCGAGGCGGAACTCGTGCATGATCCAGCCGGTTTTGACGCCGTTGGGTGCTCTGTTCCGGTAGAAGACGAGCGTCTTCCTCATCCCCACCACCTCCTTGCTCGCCGGGTCCACCACCGTCCGGTCCTTCCCCGTTGCTTTCCAGTAGCCGGACGTGGTGGCCCGGTTCGTCCTGAACCCGGTCGCGTACTTGCGGTCCCTGAAGCTGAAGAAGTACCACTCCGTCGCATTCAGCTTCGCCACCTCTGCCAACCAAAACCCAAAACCCAAACCCAATTACTATGCCTTGCCATACACATGTTAGATTGTATGATTCCCGGCGGTCGGCCGGCCGTTCGTCGGAAACCCTAATGCCATTATCATGTATGTGTTTATTACTATGACACGAGAGTGGTAGCTAGTAGAAGCCAAAAAAAAAATCTACAGTATATGATTCTTCTCTTATTTTACTTTACGAATACGGTACTCATGTCGTATGATTAAGAGTATACACACAACGTGGGAGCCATCCTCGTTGTCCCAAACTAATAATATGACTGCTTGTCTCTCCATTGTGGCTAAGGATGGCGACGGGACACTGATGGGAAGTGAAAGTTACAGTACTTGTAATTTTTATTTATATATATACATGACCAAATTAAATACCCAACTCTCTTGCTTCAATACAAGAGTGTATATTCTTATACGTACGTACGTCGACCGATATTTGTATATAGTTTGAAAGTGTTGTTTATTATTATTATTGTTTATTCTTAAGAGATATATAGTTGGCGAGTCCACGTCAAGGAGTTGACGTTTAGTTGATGATGAGTTATGGCTAAGTGAGTAATTAATTAGCTCGATTGGGCCTTATTTGTGATAATATGTGAACAATAGAATTAATCATCATTTCAAGCCAAGAAAAAAACGAAGACATATACGATGGAGGTTTCCAGATGACGTCTTATCTCATCCTCTGAGATGTTTGTTTCATTCTACATATTTCGTCGACCTTCATCTTATCTCCTCAACGAAACTCATGACCTAAACCAATAGGATATATATGAAGAAGGTTGTGGATTTACATGCTACTGATGACTTAGCTTGGAAAAAAATCATGATTTTGTCACCACCAAAAAAAAAAAAAAATTGTTCACATTCTGATACAGGGATATGATTTATTTTATTTTTTTATTTTTGTACAGCGCGTGGTATCGGTTATCATTCTTTTTTTAGTTGAATATCAGTTATCATTCCAATTATTCTATTAGAATAATTTCTCAGAGGAAATATAGTTTTTCTCCTTTAACGAGAAGTAGAAATTTATTGTTGCCAATATCGATAAACACCAAATTCGAACTCAAAATATAATAGACCGAAACTATGAAATTTCCTTGAAGTTAGAAGAAGAAAGACCTTTTAAGTTGAAAGGAAGAAAATTCTTTTATCATCGATATTATTGTTAATGATTTGATTGGTAAATAATTGATGTTATCCTTTAGCTATTTATGAGTACGAGTAGAAACTTGCAATATAATTTCTCTGGCCTCACTCAGCGGCGGATCCAGAACACAGAAGTGAACTGGGCCGCATTTTATTAGAAAATTAGAATAATAAAAAAATATAATGATTATAATTTTTTTACAATGTAAATTGTACACGACGGTATGTTAATTTAGCAAATGCATTAATAATGGAGTCCACATCCATACCAATAGTATACACTGTTTCAAATAAAATACTTGAGCAATCGACTAGAAATCCATCGCTCATTTTTCGTTGTTGAAAAGGTTCTATTCGTATTAGCTGTTGAAATGAGCAGCATCAACACTAGACAAATCAATCTACTAATCAATTTGCATTGTGTTTCCATCCCTATATCCACCAGTTGCTCTAGTAAATTTTTCAAGGTAACAAACCTCATATATGTTTTAGTCTTTTACGTTTTAAACATTTTGAATTTTTAGGTTTCATTGTTTTTTAGACGAATAACCTTTTGGAGTTAGAATTTATAAGCTAAATTTAGAGTAGTGATTTTGAATATGTTTATCTGAATTATTTTTCTAATTATACCCAATCTTATTTTAAAATAACAACGACCCGAATATCTAAAATCGAAAAATTAATAAGACCTATATTAACTATGGATCCAGAGGAGAGCTGGGCCGGGGCCCGGGGTGGCCACCCCTGGATCCGCCGCTGGCCTCACTACAACCTATTAATTTATCTAATCTTTTTTTTTTTTGCACCCAAAAAAAAAAGTTTATCTAATCTTTGTTTTCATTGGATGCCACTTCGCTTCTTTATCTAAAACCATTAAACCAACGATATTAATTAATTTTAACGTTTTGATCATTATATTATGTTGTACAAACCATCGAAACCTACCACGCCTTTCTTTACAGTGTATTCTACAATATAAAATAATGTAAAAATCTATAATCCTCCGCTCTGGTATATTAATTATTGGTTTAACTAATGATCTTTCTTATTATACAATAAAATTGAAATTAGAACTATAACAAATGGACGTAATTACATTAATTAGAAACATAACAAGTCTAATTGCACCTTCGTTCAACGACAAAGAGTTAGTCTCCAAATTTGAACCTAGCTAGAATAATATCCTTAATTTATTTTATTGTTATTAGGGAATACAAAATCTACCGAGAGTGAAGGAAAAGGAAGGAGAAGATGTAGAGCGAAAAGTGGGAGAAAAAGATGGGAGCGAGCTAGGGTTGCATGCAATGCAAGGATCTACTGCTTTTGCTGAATGAGATTGACTGATAGAAAGAAAAAAAAAAGGGTAAAAATAAAGCACAAAGAAAGATTACACGAAAGGTCGTGGATAGGTTACCACGTGGCACCCATGCATTCGCCCAATAATTGACTGCCGTAAACTCATAAAAGTTAGTTTACATTTGAAAGAACGGTTAAAAACTAATATAAAATTCAAAACATTTTCTAGCCACTTCAATTATTATTGGGACTAAATAATTCTCGAAAAAAAATGCTGGATAGAAAAGAATTGTAACAAAATTGAACCATTGGAAATATATTTCTCCGATTTTTTTTTCGTTGAATCATCACTGTAATTATTATTTTTTTCATCGAATCATCGCCGTTAATTAGATTGGTAAAAAAAAAAAAACCCTACATGAAAAAGGGGAGGAGAAATAGATTATCATGTATATAACCCTAGTTATGCCCTGGGAAAAATCACTGTCATGATGAAGACAGAGGCGGCCAGCCAGCTAGCTAACTCACCACTGTACTCGACTACTGTTCACTGGAAGTAGCACTGTACTCTGCACTAATTTGTGTGGGGATTATAATTAATAATTTATATGTATATTTCCAAACAATTTTGTCAAGGAACAAATAATAATAAAGACAAATAGAATTCCACCGTTTGGACCGTAATAATAATCATTCAATTCATTCCCTTGTAGAGGGAGCAACGCGGTTCTTTCTTCATGTGCATCGTCGATCAGAAAATCATTGGCTTGGGTTTATATTCATCAAAACTTGTCGGGAAAAGGAAAAATTCTCAGTTAGTGTCTGTCAGAGGATAAGATGTTAGAATTTTTTTTTTCTCTTTTATATGTTCTGTTTTAATAATTTCTTTGTTTGGGTTTTACAAAGGTGGTAGGAATTCATTGGAGAGGGAATAGCCAGCCTCCACCAGATGACACAATTGCGAACATTTTCTTGTTTCGTATGTGTAAAATTATATTCTTCTTGACTTTTGGTTCCCAAAGGTACAAATGTTAGTTTAATTTTTCTTGCCAATTATTTATATTCTTCCTGTCTATATATGTAAAACCCTTTCATTCATTAATCAGTTAATCATGGGACAGATAGAAATCTTGAACAAGAAAGTAGGAGACACAAGGCAAGGGTTGATGTCGTTTCAGTCAAAACCAAGTCCTTCCAGTCTCCAGACATTAAAAAAAAAAAAAAAAAAACCTAAGTCCTGCCAATTTTTTTTATTTTTCATTCTTTAGGTGGCCCAGGTGAATGAAAATAATAATAAAAACAGTCATATCCCTCTATCAGATATAATATATTCTCATTTAGAATAAGGTGAAAGATTAAGGAAACATTAGTTAATTAGCTCTCATAAAATTTAACTTTCTTGTCTACTCCATTTTTGTGGTCTAGTTTCTTCCGATTTGGGTTTGAAGGAGGAAAGTGACCTTTCTATGATCTCAGAAACAAATCAAGACTGCTTGAGGAAAGGCAAAATAACTTTATTATTCTCGAAAGAAATATTTTTAAACGAAATAGGGGAAAGAGGAACGAGTTTGCATTCTTATTACCCCGTTTCAAGATCACAATCTTATTCTTTGATGTGGTGGTGAAGTGAGCTTTCCAAACACTTGTTTTTCATTAACCCTTTCCTATACCTTAATTTCCTATGGCGAATAATAACAAAACACACACCATGAAGGGAGGGGAGGCAAACAAAGTTTGAATGGCTTTTTCCAAATTTTCCACGGGGAGGGTTTCTTGCTTCTTTTAGCTTACCCGAATTAGGAAGGAAGAATGATGACACAATTAACGTTCAACTAATCTCTAATCACTTTTTATATAAATAATAATCAACCCAGCCAGAGTGTGAAACGAAACCAGCCAAGATAATAATAAAAACATTAATTTTGATTTAATTACCCATCAAGGGGCCGGAAAATAGATTTGTAAGTTCCTGAATTAAGGTAAGCTAGCCAAGAGAAAAGTTGGCAGGCAGTGTCGTACGTATCCCCTTAACAACTATTGCATGTGTTTTCTGTGACACTCCATCTTCTCCCTTCTTCTTATCTCTTCTTCTCTCTACACAGAACTAACTATTAAAAGCAAAAGCTAGCAAGCAATCGTCAACCCTCTAGGCTCTAGCCCTTATCTCGATCTTCATTTTTTTTTTTTCATCTTTACTTTCAGTTTTTGGCCCTATGATATTTCTCTCTGTCTCCCTCAATCTATTCTCTTCTATTATATATCCAGGAAACAAACAAATGAAACCCACGGGAAATTCTAAAAACAAGAGGAGAGTAACCTGCAGAAAGGAAACCCAGGAGAGAGAAGAAAAAAAAAAACCTCACCCACAGAGATCAATGAACCCTAATGGTAAGAAACCCATATTCAAGAAACAAGCATAAGGCAAGGCTCTACCTTAGAATATAAGAAAGCTCCAATATAACATGACAAAGAACAAGACAAGGTAAAACGTACGTACCAGGGAGCTGCCATGGCTCGCAGGTGTGCAAGTCGATTTCGACGAGGGTTCCCTTGAGGACTTGCTCATTGCAGATCTTCTTGTAGAGGTAATGGCAAACCAGCTCCTCGTCGCTCGGGTAGAACCTGAACCCAGGTGGCAAACTCGCACCAATGTCTCGAAGCCCCATTATCATGCTGTCTATCTATCTGTAGATTCACGAGATCGAGATGGAGTTTGTAGGTAAAATTTTGAGCAAGTGTAAGGATTGGGAGATGGCGGATGCAAGTATTTTGTGGTGGGGGAGGTTTGTGTGTCTTCTTTTTGGAGAAAGAATATTTGGGTAGAAGAAAGGTTGGTGTTGAGATTGTGTATATATAGAGAGAGAAGGAGAGAGAGAGAAAGGACTGGCTAGCTAGCTTGGCGGGGAGGATGACAGCAAGTGCATGACTCTGGTCCCATACCCTTTGTTATTTTGCCACATAGAGGGATTTGTTCATCGATCGATCTCCCTCCCTCTTTCCTACTATCATTTTTTCTTTTCTTTTCTCAATAAAAACTTTGATTATATGGGGGTTTGGTGGTCCCATGATTGTGTAACTAGTTAGTTATATTAGGAGGAGGGGAAGTTTTGAGGAAAAACCAAAGTTGCAAGAAATCTTCTTGTGGGTCGCCCTCTCCCCCCTCTAACTTGTGTTCTTATGTGTATGTGAAACTATTCACACATTTGCCACGATATCTATAGCTAGCTAGTTATAGTAAATCATATATAATCTCTAAACTCAATTTCTTCTAGCGATTCGAGTTATTTAAATTAATATTTACTTGGTATGGTATTAGATTCTTCGATAGTCGAGAAGTCTCGTTTGTTACTATAAACTACACTCTTAACACAGATCAAGTGAAAACAATGAAGAGAACTGCAGTATAGCAGCACAAATAATAAATATCGAATCCTCGAGCCCTTAGATGTACTATTACTCGGACTAAGTTTATTATCTAGCAGTATAGGATGAATGCAACAAACAATTTTGGATTGACAAAGCAGTAAGAAAATTATCAAAGTTCAGTTGGAGAAAAGACATTCAGGTAGTGATTCCTCCTAGCTAGTCTCCTGTCGGATTAGTGATCGTTAACTCCTTTTTGAAACACAATGCTCCTTTTTGAAATTTTCAAACTTTGTGGATGCTCTCACAACTTTCTTTCCTTGTTTCTATTTTTGATTTCGTTATTTCTTTTGCAAGAGATCAAAGAGCACAAAACCACATTTTACAAAGATTTCCGCCAAAACTTAGTTACTCTCTATGCCTTGACAATAGGGGGTAGTGATCGACCAAACAAATTTTTCATGCAATTTTTCCATCAAACGAAGACGGACACAAGAGTAAACCTTACAACAATTCTCATTCAACGTTAATAGGTCACGTTCAATCTCAATCATATTACTCATGCATTGATATCAACGAGTAACAAGATTCACAACAAAAGTTCCAAAGGTGCAAGCTATGATCATTCACGAGTGGTCAAACATGGTTGGAGCCCTCGAATCAAAATTTTGAGAATATCAATTATAACAATTTATCATTCAGAATTCAACACCACACGCTTAAGTATGACTTTGTTACCTATGGAGTGTAGGTAAGGGAAAGCGGAACGAAGTTACCGGACACATGACGAAGTTTGGACATACTAAGCATGGACCATTCATAAGAGAGTCACTTTTTCATAAAAAAATAGAACACACTCACATGGGTTCACTTATTACAAAAAGGTCACAAAATAAAAATCAAAGACAAAAGTCCAAAATCAAAAAGAAAAACAGAAAACCCAACCGGTCGTAGGTGTCATCACTCGTAATCACCTCACTGGTCCTGAGGAGGAGAGGGAACACATGGATGTTCGAAGTGTGTACCATGAGGTGTTGCTGGTGACAGTGTAAAGATTGGCATCCCACTCTCGGTTAAAACGGGTTAAGAGGCAATCGTTTTGCTCCAAGATCACGACATTCTACACCCGGAGATTCGATTTCTACGCAAGGATTTCGTTACCCCGAAGCTCCAAAGCCTCCATATGTGCAATGTAAAGATATATGGCGGGTCCAACATGAACATAGGTGTATCAAGCGTGTGGTGGTGGCTCCTCATCATGAGATGCCTCCTCTGTTGTCCCAGCATCTTGACAAGCCTATTTTGTGGCCTCAGCTGCGACCACCCACTACAACAACACTGTGAGGACTTAGGTGGCTCGGTCGACATCATTGCAGACATCGATGTTGATGTCAAGGTACTAGGCAAGAGGTTAATATATGGACCATCGACCATACATTTTGGGCTGGTGTGGTCTTTGCAAAAGTAGTGGTCACCATAGAGCCCGGATGGAGGGGGCAGGACGAGTTCATCATTGAGTAGAGGATATGCATTACCGCCTTGGTGGCCTGCCCTGCTGCCTTGCGACTGGGAGCCAACGACCGAGTGAGAGCTGATGAATGATTTGATAATGAGGGCTGAGATGGTGCCTTGGATCTGCCCGAGAATAAACTTACTGTCAGGGGTGAGGTAATAAGGCCAAAGAATCTCTGAGTAGAAGGATTGGAGTTTATTCAGGGGTTGGGATTTTCAATCACCATGTTGGCTTAGTTTGTGGGTAGGCCAAACACCACAGTGAACTCGTCGAAGCTCATGTTATGAATCACACTACCAAGCCAAAATTTGATAGAAGCATGGTTGTGGATCTCGGTTGTCCAGCTCATCTCAAACATAGTGAAGAACTCCAGCACCAAATAGCGATAAGTATGTTTTGAGAGTTTGGTGGTCATACTTGTTGATTTCGGTGGAACTTCGCTGCAAATAGAGAGGATTTTGGCGAACTTCATTGGATTCCAAAGGTGTGTGGAAAATGGTTGGAAATCTCTCTCAAACCCCTTTTATAGGCATTTTTCTAGGAAAAATCTCAGTCACAACTTCAGAAGTCACGACCGTGATTTTTCTAGATAAATCCATGAAACAGTCTAGAGGCCAAAGGGAGAATCACGATCACGACCGCAAACATCAAGGTAGTAATTTCCAATGGAGCCTGATCATACATGTCAATAAAAAAATCATGGGCTTGAGGCACAAAATCATGGTCGTGATTTTGCGTGATAAGCCCATGAAATAGTATGAGTTTGAAGACAAGAATCACGGGAATGAGGCTTAAAATCACGATTGTATCCTATACTCGAATCCAACACTACTTGAGGAAAAAAACACGTCATTTTAGAGCACGAAAATAACTCAAGACTCAATAAACACACATACGACTCGAAGAGTAAAAACAAAAACAAAGGGAAATGGAAAGAAGACATAAATTGATGCATTGGGTTGCCTCCCAACAAGCGCTTCTTTTACGTTTTTAGTTGGATGCAACTGGTGGAGAGAACTATGGATCCTTGAGGTACATCAGATCCTCATTTGTGATCACTTATCCATTGATTAGAGCTTGAGGTGATGCCCACTGACCTTGAAAATGACTAGGGGTGGCAGTTCGGTTACCGGTTAACCGGCCGGTTATCCACTAACCGATAACCGAAGTAACCGAATTTTGGTCGGTTATCGGAGGCTACCCGAAAAGGTTTTTGGTCTTAAAAGTGGGTCTGTTAAACGATAACCGAGATAACCGAGAAACCGAAGCCTATTTCAGGCGGTTTTCGGTAGGGGGAGTGGTTATTTTGGTTAATTTATAACCGGCCGATCGGTTATCGGTTATAACCAAAATAACCGAAATGCCACCCCACTATGTTGATAAGAGATCTCAACCACGCCATAAGAGAAGCTTTCGTGACCGTGAAGGGTCTTGACCACCGTGATCTCAGTATCCCAAGAAACAGCCAAAGGCGAGAGTTTTAGAGGAGAGCTCAATCGTCAGGTTGTAATTCCTTTATCTTATTCAAACGAGTGTCGTAAAGATGTTTTGTTCAGTCATTATACAGTTGTGTGTTCTCATAAGCATGGTACCTCCATTTCTCGAGCTCCAGAACCTGCAAATTTCTTTCATTTCATACATTATTCAAATCGAGGTTAAGCATTTTAATGGCCTAGAAAGCCGTGCGCTCTAGCTCAATTGGAAGATGTAAAGCTTTTCCATAGACGAGTGTGTGTGAAAAAATGCCAATTGACGTCTTATAAGCCGTGTGATAGGACCATATAACATCCAACATGGTAGATATTCCTTGAGGGATGGATCTACTATCTTTTCAACGATCAACTTCAACTCCTAGTTTTTCAGCTCAGCTTGACCACTCATATGAGGGTGGTAAGCCATGGAGACCCTTTGAGCCGCACCATAACAAGATAGGAGCTTACAAAATGGAACCTAGAAATAGGTTCCTCTATCTCTTATGATCGCTCTAGGTTTGACAAAACGAGAGGAGAGTAATTTCAAAAGTTGGCAAACACGTATAGCATCATTTGTAGGCAAAGCCTGTGCTTCTGCACACCTCAAAACATAGTCAACATCAACTAGAATGTATTCGCTACCAAATGAAGGAGGGAATGGTCTCATGAAATCAATGCCCCAAAAATAAAAAATTTCAAAAATTATAAATATATTATCGTACCTCATTCCAAGAAGAGATGTTACAAGAGCGCTGACATCGGTCGCACTTGCATGTGAAGGTTTTGGAATCCTTGAAGAATATAGGCCAATATAAGCCATACTGAAGCAACTTCCTCGCCATACCATTTCATCCATGATGGCCTCCCGTGGGTCTCGCTGATAGTAGGAGAGGATCTCATGCATGTATGCCTCCATAACATAGCTTCAGATCACACTATAACCACAAATCCAGAACAAATAGGGATCATCCCATAAGTATTTATAGAAACCATGGAGTGGCAATCTCGGTTGGGCACATCGTGGAGAGATTCTTGTCTGGAAAGGAGTCATTGTTCTCTCCATCAAAATTGTCTACTGAGGGTTGTTGAATCCTTGAGAGATGATCTACAACCAAGCTATCTGCCTCTTTCTTGTCCTTTATCTCGATGTCAAACTCTTGAAGGAGCGGGATCCATCTTATGAGCCTAGGCTTTGCATATGCCTTCCTCATCAAGAACCTGATTGCTGAATGATATGTATAAACCATGACAAGAGGCTTATCAAAATCATACACCACGGCAAGAAATACTCATTAAGTGCATTTGATGCACTTAATGCATAGTAAATATGCTGGAAATGCTCGTCCCACCTCTCTCAAGAAATACTCCTAACGACATAATCAATGACATGATAAATAAACTCGAACAAGAGATTCATTCTGGAGCAACCATGATCATCGCTTGTGTGAGTTTCTCCTTGAGGAGCTCAAAATCTACTTGACACTCCACATTAAAGTTGAATGGATCATCCTTCTCTAACAACTTCGTGAGAGGTAGAGAGATCTTAGAGTAATCTTTCATGAATCCCCTGTAGAAACCTGCATGCCCAAGGAACTACGTATTCCCTTGATGGAAGAAGGAGAAGGCAACTTGCTACTAGTCTCAAACTATGAAATTACACTTCTCACAACTAGGTGCCAAATTTGTCTCTTCACACATTTGCATTACTTGCTCAAAATTTTGGAGACATTGGGAGAAAATGTCACTAAATATCAAGAATTCATTCATGAAAACCTCAATGATATCACCCAGCAACTTGTCGGAAATAGCCACCATGCATCTACGGAAAGTGGTAGGGGCATTACATAGCCCAAATGGAATATGTTAGTAAGAAAAGTGTCAAATGGGTAGGTGAAGGTGGTCTTATCCTGATCTTCTGGAGCTATGAGAATCATGAAAATGTGGCATACCATCCAGGAAGCAGTAGAAGTCATTGCCAATGAGCATCTGAAGCATCTAGCCGATGAAAGGAAAACGAAAGTGATCCTTCCTATCTACATCATTCTACCTGTGGTAATCTTTGCACAATCGCTATCCAGTCATTGCGCGCATGCAGATCATCTCATTCTTCTCATTAGGCACCATAGTCATGCATCCCTTCTTTTGTACAACCTGAGTAAGACTAATCACTCACTATTGAAAAACGGATAGATAACCCTAGCATCCAATAACTTGTTCACGGTTGCCTTCAATGCCTCCTTCATATGATGGTTAAGCCTCCTCTGAGGTTGCACCGGTTTCCTGATGTTATCCTTTATCTGAATCTTGGAAGAGCATAAGGACATACTAATACCCCATATTTCAGTAATATTCCAAACTAGTGCCTTATCGAGCTTCTTCAGCAGTTCCACCAGTCTGGCCTTCTTCTTAGGAGTAAGAGATGAACTAATTATGATCAGAATCTTGGATCTCTCCCTCACGAAGGCATACTCAAGGTGGATAGGGAGAGATTCCTCTGTGGAGGTGGTGATCCGAGAAGATTTAGAGAGTGGCTCGACTAGTGGTTTCTGCTCCTTTGTAACCATCACATCTAATGGTGCCAGTTTCTCTACCAGTTGGAGATGGTTATATGCATGCTCTCCTAGAAAAAATTTCTCAAGAGAATCATGAGTTTCGGCAATCTTGTAGGCAAGTGTTTTCTCAAAATCAGAAGTCATATCACAATAATCAAATCATGATGCATACAAGAATGTTTTAGATTATCAGCAATGGCAAAAATTAATTTGTTCATCCCTAGCCCTCATAATCAATTACCCATCATGCACATAAATCAATGTCTTAGAGGTATCTAGGAAGGGCCTACCTAAGGTAGTACACATCCACATCCTCATTAATATCCAAAATCATAAAATCAACATAATATATAAATTTGTTGATCTTAACCAGGAGGTCTTCTACTATTCCACTAGGATGCACAATAGAATTGTCAACAAGCTGTATACTCATCCTAGTGATTTTGGTTCACATAGGCCTAACTTCTTAAACATCTTATATGGCATGGCATTAATGTTGGCTTCTAGTTGTGCCAGGGGCATCTCTCCATGCAAATAACCCATAAAAAAAGGGATATTAAGATTTACTGGGTCTTTTCATTTATCGGGAAGCTTGTTCTGCATAATTATTAAGCACTTCTCATTTCGCATCACCATAGAGAGGTCCCCCAAGCCTTTTCTTATTGGTGAGGATATCTTTGAGGAATTCAACACACTTGGGAACCTAGAACATCGCCTTCATGAATGAGATGTTGATAAGAATATGATTCCGCTTTGTCATGAACATGGAAAACTCCACCTCAAGCATGTTCTGGTGCATATGTTGGGAAATGGAAGTAGAGTCACGTACTCTGCCATCACAGGTTTTAACTTTGGCATTGGAGTATGCACCAAACCCTCCTCCTTTTCTATGGTTGTCGTAGGTGTGGGTGGAGAAATTTTTTCGTCTTCGGGTTGCTGAGGTGCAGAAATATCTCTGCTTTCTTGCCCACTCCTCAATGTCATAGACTTCAAATCTTCCCTCGGTTCCTCATGATTAGGAATGGTATGTTGGTTCAGAGTGCAGACAAACTAAATCATCATCTCTTCAAGTAGTTTAGAAACCTTGTTAGGAGGGGGGATTAAGAATCCCTTTACTTGTTGTGAGAGTGAAACAGGTTTTGGAATTATTGTTGCATCTATTGAAATCCTAGTGTTGAAGCTTGGAAACTGGGTGGATTGAGGTTTTTTGGTTTGGTACCACCCACACTGCATAAGCTGGTTGGTTGGCTGGATTGCATAAGGGGTATCTACTATGTTCATTCTTTTAATGAGCCCCTTTACCTTGGCTTCAAGCATTGTGCGAGAATCCATAGACAACACACAACCATGCTTTGGCCCCTTTGTTCTTCTGCTCGCACCATGGTAATTCTCACGTGCAGCCATATCTTCGAAAAGTTTATTCATCTGGGTGGATTCTTATTCAACATATCTCTTGGGCAGAGAGAATCAAGGAGAAGCCTATCTTCTCTGAACATCTCTTTGTAGAAAAGGGAAACTTGATACCTAATATAAACATTGCGATGTGAGCATTTTAGCAGTATAGCAATGAAGCACTCCACACGCATCACATAAGGTCTTTCCCTCTTCATGGGTGAATTGATTGATCGTCTGTCACAATTGAGCTATTTTGGATGGAGGAAAGTAGCGAGTTGTGAACTTTTCTATCAAATATGTCCACGAGACGATTGACAAAGGACGTTGGTTTGTGAGCCCCTTCTTGGCTAGTCCACCCAATGAGAATGGGATGAGCCATAGTCAAAGAGCATTCTTGGATACGCCAATGATCTTGATTCAAATTGTCATTTCCACGAATTGCTAGATATGCTCACGAGCTTCCTCAGTGCTCATGTTGTAAACCGGATATAACTCTCAATAACAAAGATCACGTTGGTCTTCATCCCAAATGTATTTGCAGCTATCAGCGGATGCATGATGTTTGATTGTATGTCATCGACTTTTGGGGTAAGTGAAACCAATGAAAGGTACTATAGTATAGCAGCACAGGTAATAAATATTGAATCCTTGGGGCCCTAGATGTACTATTAATCAAACTAAGTTCATATCTAGTAGTTCAAGTTCAAGATGAATGCAACAAAAAATTCTAGATTGACAAAGTAGTATGTAAATTGATCGAAGTTCACTTGGAGAAAATTCATTTAGATAGTGATTCTGATTCGGACCTAATTGTACATGTTTTACCCCCGTTTTACTTAGGTGTTTGTGCCAATTTCACTCCTAAAAGGTTGGTTTTACGCTAGTTTCCTCGTGTTTTAGTGTGTTTCAGGATTCAACAGGTGAAACCAGCCTCGGAGTGAAAAGTAAGCGAAAAGGATCGAAAAACGAGAGAAGAGGTGAAAAAGGGCCAGTTCACGGCCTTCCCGGGAAGTTCACGGTCATGCAAGCGAGGTGTCCAGAGCCAAAATGAAGGTTATTGATGCATGGTGAGTTCACGATCTCTAAGACCGTGAACAAAGGCAGTTGACCGTGAACAGAAGTGAACAATGCGGCGCGTTTTGGCGCAAGCCTGAAGTTCACGGACGCGTTTCGTGGTTCACGGACGTGAACTCAGCTCGTCTCTGGTTTAAATGATGAGCTGAAAGGAGGAGAGATGAGAGAGCCCATTTTTTGAGAGAAGCCTTCTTCTGAATTCTAGAGAGAGAAACACGAACAAAAGGGAGAGGAAGGCTTGGGTTTTGCTTCAAGGTAGATTTTGGGAAGATTTCCTCCAAGGAAAGCTCAACTCAAGGGCCAAGAATACTGTGAGCATCCTCCAAGATGGCTTCCACCTCTTTCCCTTTTGTTTTCCCCACTTCTAGCATGGAGTAGACCTCCTTTCACTTGGGTGTTATGAAACCCTAATTCTACCATGTAGTTTTCTTTTATGTGAATTGAATGATTGTCATTGGGTATTGTTTAATTCAATGATTGAGGTATTTTTCATGATTGATTGTGCATGCTTGTGCTTAGAAACTTAGAGGTTGTGCGTGGTTTGTGCTTAGCATCCTTAGCTTTGTGCATTTAGGTGCTTAGCAACCTAAGGATTGTGCATAATTGTGCTTAGCACCCTTAGGTTAGTGCATGTTGCGGCTAGCAATCTAATTGGCCACCTAAACTAGGTTAAGTTAGGGAAACCCTCAATATTGAATCAAGCAAACCGGTTAATCGCGATTAAGTCGACCGACCTTAGAGTTGTGTGAGGGAGTAAGTCAACTACCGATTGTCTAAACCGAGAGAGGGTCGAGTGACACGGCCTTTCATGCTTACCTCATTTTGGCAATTGATTTTGTGGTCTCCGACCATATATGCATCCATCTGCCGTTCATGATTATCGTGCCCAAAGCAATCGTTCCTCTTGAATATAATGCTTAGAGAGAGTTTATCATCGACTAAGACAATCTGCCAAGGCAATGCAGTCTAAATATTTCTATTGGATCGAAGTCCAATACAAAACAGTGAACCGGTTCACTCCCTATAATCGATTTCCTATTTCCAATTTATGTTGCTCTAATCAACCTATTCGATATTATCTCTTCTATTGTAAAGCATAAATCATAAGAATATGAAAGATTCAAACTATTCACTGAATAATGCATCAATAGGATATAAATTATCATTTAAACTCAGTAGAGTGTCAAACAATCCAATTCAAACAATCAAAATTAGGGTTCCTCATACCCAAGTGAGAAGAGAGTCTAATCCATAGAGAGAAGAAATTCGCAGAGAAGTTGAAAACATCATGGTGGTGATGGGATTCGTCTTCTCATCAGTGATCTCCACACCTAAGATTGATTCAGAAGTCGCTTTCTCTCTGTATGGCTCTCCCTCTTTCATTTTTTGCTATAAAAACTCGAATTCCCTTTCATAAATTCATAGAGCCCTTTTATACCCATCAGTGACAGAATCAAGGTATAGAATCGTGATTCTCGTGTTCCTGCTCGTGATTCTCCAAAACTCGTCTTCAAAGGAGATCACAGTCATGAACTTTTGGGAATTCACAGTCGTGAATTTCATATGCATGCCTGTGATTATTGTCTTCTGACACAGACTACTTCACGAGCTTATCTCCATATTGCACAATATTGATTTTCCTAAGGCTGACTATGATTTTCAAGAACATCTCACGGCCTGGAAGGTGGAAATCACGATCGTGATTCATGAACTGTTGGTCTTGGTTTCTCCTCTAGGTACGACGACCTTGAATATGACACAAAGACACAACCTAACTTAAAATTGACATATACAATGGTGTTTCCAACCCAAATAACAAAGAAACAGCCAAAATATAAGGGAAAATATTTGTATAATTATACACGTATCACTTGTGTTTGAATCTCGGTCAATTATTCATAAAAAAAAATCTCGGCTACCCCATCTTTTAATCACACGATATTTGAATTTTTGCAAAATCCAAATCTATATGAGTGGGCTTGCTTTTGAGGGTCGTATTGGTAAATTCTGTATGATCCATCATTGAACATTCCAACAACTCGAGTAGGGAGGGATCCATGATTTGGTGTTCAGGTTCGAAGTTCCATTAATATATTGTCAAAAAATAAAATAAAAATAAGAAAAATATTTAATGTATTATTTTAATTATAAATTTTTTGGTTATGATTAAGATTATTCAAAATGAAATAAAATTTTATACCATGTTAAATTTATAATTTTGAAAGAGAAAATTATCAATTAAATATTTTATATCACATTCTATTTTTATAACTAAAAAAATTATCATTTGAAATAAATTAATGTACTCAGTATTCACCATTGGTCCAAAATATCATCAAAATCTATTAGTGTAGAACTTAATTGATCTTATTTGAGATAAAAGATTTAACAAACCAAACTATACAAATTGAATATCTTAATTGATCCCATTTAAAATTAAAGGACTGAAGAAACCAAAATAAGAAAATTGAACGGCCAAATGATTAGCATGTAAAACCAAAAAAGTAATTAAATAAGGAAAATAATAAATTATTTATGTAATATTATAATTACATAAAAAAATTCCACTTGAACTAAAAAATTATAGCATGTTAAGTTCATAACTAAAAAAATAAAATTTTAAATGTGTATCACATATAATATATTTATAACTTTAAAAATGAGTTATTATTAATAATAGTATTGGAATTACGTAATCTATTCACTATTAGTATTTATTAACTTACCGCCATTTTGGTTTGGGCCTTCCAGCTCCCTTTCTGACTTCCATCCCATGAGTCTCGTTGTACATTACTCATACATGATGATTCACTTGGGCGCTAGGCCTGAAAACACTAAAATACCACCCAAAAATATGTCAAATGTATAAAAACACACCTAAAGCTACTAAATGCACCTTAGAGCAAATATCAAACGAATCCTAGTGAAAATGGTTAAAGATATACGAAGAAATGACCGCAAAATGTGTCATAGAATGGTGGTATTTCATCAAATAAAACAAAAAATACCTTACTACCCTTCATACATCCCATTATCTAGAAAGTTCATTGCCCTTATCATAAATTCATCTCAACTATTCTCACTGCCTGAAAACATAACGAAGAAGAAAAGTTCAATAGATACCTAGAATAAGGGGGAAGGAAGAAAAAGAAACAGAAGCCGGCCAAGTTTGTCCAATTTCACCTTCTTCCCCGTTCTTTTCTTCCATCAAGTGATCATCTCAAACAACACAAAATGATTCCCATTCATCCTCAATAAAACCCAACCTGCTCACTTTCTCCCCCACCATAACTAGGGGTGTACGTGGGTCGGTTGGGTCGGTTTTCATCATTTTAACCACCCAAACCATGAGTCATGGTTTGAATAATGGTGAACCCAAACCCACCGATAATTTTCAAGACCTTGCGGTTTTCTTGCATCACGGTTTGGGTCGGGTTGGATGAAAATCCACTCCATTACATGAGAATAAAACGTTTACGTTAATAATATAATACGACAAATAATACATATATGACACTATATGTAACCACAAAATAAGTAAGTTATTGTAGTAACATATTGCAATCACACTAAAAAATACAAGAATAAAAAGTATTTTACTTATTAATACATTGTAGTAAACTAAAACAATTAAAATATAAAGAGAGGATATGTTAAGAAAACACTATGATAAATGATTGGTTTCAATTTATCAACACGAACTATATGTGAACAAAAGACATGTATAATAATTAAAATGAGAAATTTTTTATGGAGGAATATATATTTAACATATATTGTAGTATCACGGGTCAGTTTTGATAAGTTGGGAATGTAACCATCCAAATCCAAACCCAACAATAAGACTATGGTTTAAAAAAAAAAATCACACCCACCCATGCAATTAGATATTTATGAATATCACAGGTGGGTCGTTTTGGGTTGGACGGGTGGGTGGCTTTTCGGTTTGTTTTGTTCATCCCTAACCACAACCGCTCAAAAGATTCACCATGCATGGCGGCTAATTACTTTGTCTATCCATAAACTACTATTGCTCTATCCTTCATTCCTTCACACTTTACACAGTCCCTTCCCACCATAGACGTCTAATTCCTCCTATCTTCATGCTTCCTCCAAAATTAAACATTCAATTTCAGCAAATCCTCAACTAGTTGAAAACCAAACATGCAATCCTCAAATCTTAGCACAAATCTCCAATTCCAAAAACAGAGAATTTGAGCCCAACTCGAGATTCATGCAACCCCACATTCAATAAACATAATAAAATTAAAACCCAACTCCAGATTGATGGATTATTTTGGCACAAATAGTTGCCAAATGGATTATTTCGATCCAAATGATTTTAGTTATTTGTTAAAATAACTAATTCAATTAATCCATCCAAACTACCCCATATATTTTACGTAAATCACTCATCATTAGATATAATATGATATGTTTCCCCATACTTGGAGTTGGTTTTAGAGAAAGAAGGTGGATCAACATGATTGAGAAGTTGTCATCAAGCCCTACCAGGAAATCAAGAAGCTTCATAGTTTTGTTTGACTCTCTCGTACATTTCTCGATGTTGCATGTGCAGAGACCAAATAGGAACTTGGCGGGGGAATCGAGCATCAACCAGTCATCCCACTTTGTAGTAAACAAGTGATAAATCCTAGGAGTGCCTAGGGTCGTATTCCACGAGGTCTTCTGTTAGTAACTACTCAAATCTAATCAGATTTGTCAAATGAGGATGCAATGAAAAATAAAACAAGTGGGTTGAGGTGCCCTTGGTCGAATTACTACTCTACTAATGCAAGAATATAGCAAACAATGCAAGCAAGTACAATATTTTTTTACGGATATGTTTTCTTAGATGATCATGCATACTAACTCATTAATAAGATGCCACAATACATAATCTATTATGATGCCCATCCATTCCATTAAGGCCAACCTAGCTGAGCTTTTCACCACGTGAGATAGGAATTTAACTAGCTAATGTGTGTTTTCACTTCATGCCATCAACCAATTAATGAAGAGCAAGTAACTAAGGATAGAATATGGTTAAGTGTGGGCCTCTTAAGTCCTAACTCATAGCCTATGGCATCGATGATCTAGCTATCAAGCATGCATACATGAATAGATTGCCGATCAATCCATACATGCATGAGATATAAAGAAAGTAGTTTCCTGACATCCTCGATGATATTATAAATAATGGCCATAGTAGCATACGACAGATTCATAAGCATCGAAAGAAAGCATTAGATGAATAAGCATCAATGATACAAACATCATCTAATGAAACCAACATTTTACTGAATCATTGAAAGATACATGAGCATCATAGAATTCACATTCCTAAACAATCTCAAGCTATCACGTCGGTAGGGAGAGAGAAGTTATCACCGGCAATGGTATCGGCATCATTGGTGTAGAGCTTCTATTCCTTCTTGAGAGCTAACTCGTGCCTCGTGGGGCAGAGTATGCAATGGGCGAGTGTATAAAAATTTAGCCTAGCCTCGTATTTATACTAGTTACAAAAGGGTGGGATTTCCCCTAAAAGACGGCCGCAAGAGTCCTTGTACTACTTGAACTCGGATTCCTTCAACTTGGGGACGAACTAAGGTCCTTCTGGAGGGCTTGGGCCCGAGCAACGGCCAGATGCATTGTGGTTGAGGCCAACGCCTCTTTTCCTCTTGGGCTCAGTTTCTTAGCCCACAAGCAACTTATCCTCCAAATTTTGGCGTGTTTCGACTTATATAATTCTGGTTGGACTTTGATCAAAAATCAACATTGGGCATATTGTACTACCAAATCTGCTTGTTTGGCCATAAAGTGAGCATCTGATATTCAAATCCATCTATGTTTGAGCCTATAAGCTTGTAATCTCGTCCACCTTCTGAACCATTGGATCCTTTGGTGATCCATATTTATCTTTATTGAATTGTAACCTTGAAAAGCACACAACAACACCAAAAGACGTAAAATAATACAAAAACACACTCAAAGTCTATCATAGGCTCATTATTCAAATAGCTATGAATTCCATATGAAATAGAATGAACACTACTAAACATGCATTGATGGAAGGGAAAATATATAAAACATGGAAGGGATAAACACTATAAATAGAGTGTCATGACCAACTTCTTTTTATTGTTTATAAGGATTCCTTTGACTTGGGGACTAACTAAGGTCCTTCAGAAGCTTATGGAGCCCGACCGGCGGCTGGATGGTGGTTAAGGCCGACATTGCTTTTCATCTTGGGATCAGTTCTTTGGCCACAAGCAACCTTTCCTTCAAATTTGACTTGTTTCGACTTATATAACTCAAGTTGGATCTCAGACAAAATTGGACATGTTGCACCACCATATCTGTTTGTTTTGCCACAAAATGAGAATCTGATGTCCAAATCCAACTCTATTTGAGCTCATGTGCTTGTAATCTCGTCCTCTCTCTAGTCCATTGGGTCTCTTGGTGATCCATATTCGTCTTGAGTGCATTGTGACCTTGAAAACACAAAACAACACTAAAAGGTGTAAAATAGTACAAAAACACACCCAAAGTCTATCACAACTTCTTTTTACCTGTAAAAGAGTGACATATGTTTGTTTTAATTGTTAGGAGTTACTCAAGGGAATTGATCCTAAAAAGTGTAGAATATGTCTTTATTAAATTAAAAATTCATTTCAACTGTGTCTTAATTCTGTAACAAGGCCTCTACGATTCATTGGCCGATCCTGCCACCAAAGGATAGGAAATAGACTAAGGCATTTACTTAAATCCCAAGACAACAAAATGAACCCCAATACTCAAATACGCAACGTAACAAATCTTGAAATTTCATATGTAAACCTTATCCATACATAGGGTTTAAATCAAAAGAGTCCTTGCTATGCCATGCAAGTGCAGAATCACTTTACACTTACAAACGTGTATGTCCACTAATCGTAGTATAGCTCTCCCTCGAGAATAATTGAAGGGATATCTAGCTCGTAGTACCCAAGGCCAGCTTCCATGCAGCTTCATGAGCGCCAGCCGGGGTACTTCCCAACAGTGGCGACGAAGAAAATATTGCAGCATGCAGAAGTTTTGTCAAAAAGGCAACAAAAAGAGGCAAAAGCTTAAAGCTCACTTTTTTTGAAAGCAGATTTGGCCACACGAATATATTTACTAGATACCTCATTGTCAACAAAGCTAAGCCAACACGATCTCTCTCTAGCTTGCTTGCTGGCTGTGAAATTATTCAATAATTTTGGGATTGATATGTTGGCGGCATCACCATCGGGGAGGGAATATTGGCACAGTGGCATATATATACATTTTTTGAAAGCTGATTTGGAATATTGTGTCATGTAGCTAAGGCAGAGTTGCATACATGATTATTGGTCAGGGGGCCACATCCATATAATAAATAGCAACTTTATGTCATTTTCTCAGCAGCATTATTTTTTTTTTTTTTTAATTATGCGTGTGTATGTGGATATATATACAAACAGTCATGCAAAAAAAAAATTAAAGAAAACATATACATGTGGAAAATAATTCGCCAGCCAGCCAACATCAAGAGATTCGGTTGGATGATGGCTTGAAAATGTGGGAAATTGTTAACTACAAGTATAAGCATGTTTGATCATGGAGACGAGAGAAAGAGAGCTCTGCTCTATGGAAAGAGAGGAAATCTGCAACAGCTACCCCAATTTCAGCTCAGCCAAAAGAACCCAGAAATGGAATTGACAAGAGAGCACTCACTCTTCCTCCATGTCTAGTTTTGTTAAGAATATTATCATTATGAGCTCGCTGTGTAACAGCAGTAATGATTGACCATAAAGAAAGAGCAGTAAGAAAAGTGATGACGAAACTGTTGATCGGATTCCATCCTGCTACAGCTGCGAACTGAATTTGTGGTCATATTTTGATGGCCTAGCTGCTAGAGCTAGGCTTGAACATCACAAGTAATCATATGTATCATCAATCTATATCAAATGTGTACCTTTCTCATTGCTGATTGCTAGAATGTAAAAAAAGTTACTATTGAATCAATGTGAATTATGGTCTGCTAGCAAACTTTTTGCTCAAGCTATATATGCATCGACTAGCTAGGTGGAAAAAATATCCACAACCGCTTGAATCCGACCCGATTAAATAGGGTAAAAGGCAAAGTAAACTAGTTATTCGGTGGTATGAATAACATCCGAATCCGATTATAATTGGTATAGGGCGGATATAGTTTTCCTACTATCCAAATTCTGACCAGCCTATTATCTACAAATAGTCATTATATCTATCAATATTTGGTATTTGTAATACATATATAAATTTCCAATGAATTATTGTTCTTTTCTATTGTTTCCCTTAAAATTGGAGATTTATTATTATAGTTTTCACTTGTATAATATGGATATATTCATATATAGTAACACACTATATGACATAATAAAGGGGGAAAACAATTATCAGTGGAAATCGAGTGATAACTGAAACCCAAGAGGATAAGGGTACGATTTTTATTTACAACCCGAATCTTATACTGATATGGATATAGGTAAAATCGAAACTAGTTAGATTAGGGTAACATGCATAAATATTGGTTCCCTAACCAACTTGATGCCATCCCTAGCATTGACCATAAACACACATTCCCTTCAAAGTAACTAAGACCTCATGAAGGCACCGGATTAGGTGCTAACACTCCTATGTGTTAGTACCATGTAAAAAAAAAACAACACAACATGTTACTTGTAAAAAAAACTTTATTTTACCATTATAAAAAAATTTATTCACCATCACAAAAAAAAATATTACAATTGTCATCCTTCAAAATGTTTTTGGTTTCGTGAGATTTCTGATCTACTTCATGAGAGTTTTGGTGTGGTTGCACACATTTGTAGTATGTTTCAAGGAACTTGTGCTCAACTTTATGAGGCATATGCTCTACTTTGGGAAATCAGTGGTCTGCTTTAAAAAACTTGTGGTCAGCTTTATGAGGTTTATGGTCTACTGCGGGGAACTTGTGGTATGCTTTATGAGGTTTTCGATTTAATTTAAGCAACTTGTGGTCAGATTTATGAGGTTTCTTGTATGTCTTAGAAAACTTGTGATATACTTTATGAGGTCTGATCTTCTTCAGAAAACTTGTGGTCTGCTTTTTGAGGTGTATGGTATGCTTTAGGAGACTTGTGCTCAATTTTATGAGGTTTCTGATGTGCTTCAGAGAACTTGTTGTCCGCTTTATTAGTTTGTTTGTCTACTTTGTGGTCACCTTATATGAGGTTTCTAGTGCGCTTCATGGAACTTGGCTCTATTTTATGAGGTTTATGATATGCTTTAAGCAAATTGAAGTCAATTTTATGAGGTTTCTGGTATGCTTTAGTAAATTTGTGGTATGCATTAATAAACTTGCGGGTAGCTTTGAATTTTCTAGTATGTTTTATGAGTTTTGTAGTGTAGTGAGGTTTTGTTCTCCTTTATAAGAATTCTGGTCTAGTTTATGTTATTGTGGTGTGGTGAGGTTTTGGTCTGCTTCGTAAATATACTAAATTAGATTTAGGTTTTGAATGTAGATGTAATTGTGTTAGAATTTATGAATATATATGTTTGTATACCTCAACAAACAATTTTTTTCATAAAAAATATCCAAATCCGTGGGCCCCACGGATTTGTATACCTCAGCAAACAATTTTTTTCATCAAATACATAATGCTTGGTATTTGGGTGCCAAATATAACACTCAAATCCCACAAGCAAACAACCCCTAGGTGGAAGTTTTAGTGTTAGACTGGATAGCGCCATATGGCTAATTAAGGATAGATGAATGATCATAGGGTTCCTTAGTGAACATGGCAACCAAACCCCTGCTATGGGAATGCCTTACTAAAACAATACAAGAGAGGTTACACGCGTTCTGATCGAAGCACCGTTTTAGTCTGCACGATAGGTTAAACCTATTGAGAGAAACTATGACAGCAACCCTAGCGCGTATGCTTATATTGAGGTGACATTGGGTCTTTTTGGGTGGTAGGAGGAGGGAGAGTAATCATTGAAATTCCCAGATTAGAGAGTTCATGCATCTTATCCCATAAACCAAACATAGTTAGGCATTTGCATAATGAACCTAGTTTAGGGGGAGGGTGGCACCCCGAAGTGCCTTTTTATCTTTGCTTTTTCCCCCAGTATTTTCCATTCAACCTCCAAACCAAAACCTAAACTGTTTGACTAAATAACAACAAAGTGAGAAGTAACCTAGGGTATCAAGACCCGTGAAATACAATCTTGGTAGCCACTATACTAGCAATGTTGTTATGAGTTATACTTGGCTCAGAATGGGGTAGTTAGATAGGTCGTGCAAACAATTGACACAACCCGCACGTGGTAGTAGCGAACACCAAATGGATATACTCGATTCATCAACAAAAAAACCTTTTATATTTAACATTATGATACAAGTTGAACTAGTACTTCGAAGCACCAATACTTTAAATTAAAGCATATTAGAAGGGCTCTTTGGACTTTAGGATTTGTTAAAATAAGGTCTACACTTTTTTTTGGATAAGAGTAACATAGGTTGATTTTTATAATTAAATGTTACTGTGAAAATTTTAACCTACAACCTCCATTTTCAAAATAGTGGTATAAACCATCAGGTCGAGCCTTTGTTGACAAATTCCGATCAATTCATAATCTAAATAACGTCATGTCATAGCATAAACCTGTATGAAAGAGCGTATATGAAAGAAGCGGTTTATAAGAACGAATTTCTTGGTATGAGTAGTGATGGCAATGGGGGGGGGGACCTCAATATCCATGCCTCGTCCCATGCTACTGCGGGTCGGGGCGGGTAATACCCGCGTGCGTACAGGGCAGGTCGACACACTCTTACATGTTATTTGAAAAAAATGCACGCAAATTTTTATTTTTTACGATAAAACGAATGAGAAAACACTTTATGAATGAAAATAGTAATAATATAATATAATGGGTAATTGAGTCTAACTAGTTGAAAGATCGACAACAACTAGTTGAAGAAAAGTTAAAATAGGAAATAGATAAATAGATATCGTATGAAGTAGAGATAGAATGTGCTAAGAACGGGGCAGAACCGGATATGACAAGTCGGAAGTAGATACACTGTTCCTCCCCCAAACTATTACGGGTCAAGCAATACTCGCCCATTCCGGATCAGGTCGAATAATACCCACGGAGCGCGGGTTTAAATTGCCTTTTCCTGTATGAGCAATATAACCATGGTGGTGTTAGAACACACACAATGTCGGTTAGCTAATCAAAGAAACGCCAGGTGTCAATGGCTGTGGTATGGGGTTGGTTGTGTCTAGCTAGGGCACACCAGAGACTCTGGAAAAATGATGATTTGGTCATGGATGGGATGTCTCTGAATACAACCTTTCTTCTTCTTCTTCTTCTTATTATTAGGGCCAGGCTGCTGCTGCGAGCGTACGTGGGGGGCCCAATGCCAAAACGGTGTTTGTTTGTGTGACGTGTAGCCTCTCCAGGCGTGACAGCTAAGCCCTCCATCATTGCACACAAACAAATTTTAACCTAATTAACAAACCATCCATCATCGGCCATAGCCTGAGCTTTAGCTTAGCTTAGCTAGCGTGTGTAGGAGGTTAATTCATTAATGCACTCATCATCCGATGGCTCCATTGATTTGCGCCGCAAACGGGCAAGCTGCCACGTCCTTCCGGATCAGACACATCCACAGGCAGCAAATCAAAGAGAGAATTCATACATTGTGTGGGCGTTAATTATTATTAAGTCACGCATGAAATTCCAAACCATGACTATCACATGAGGGTTATATGATTGGACTATCGTCATTAATTATTATTATATATATTTGCCAGCTCCTAATTAATACATTACAGAAAGATTTCGCATTATTATTATTATTGGCGGCAGACCCACAATTCAATCTACAATAGATGTAGCACAGCAGGTTGGTGGGCGAAATCGTTTCCCTATAATATCTACGTATGTACAAAGTTAAATCTGAGCCAAAACCAGGTATTTCTATATCAGACTTTTCAAATACGACTGACTTTCGGTTTATTCACTCATGTATAATTAACTATTTACGAAACGTTAAACAAAGACGCGCGGTCTAGTTTGACTACGTAGTACATACATTGACGTAGTGATAAATTCTTTCAAGGTAAGTCCAACAACGTAAGGCAAGTCATACGTGAATAAAAATACTCTCTTCTGATAACATAAATTTAAATCACTTATTAAAAAAAGTTTGTATACATAACTTGAATAAAAAAAGAC